TACTCCAGGCAAACCGTTGGCCACCTTCTCCTCCCGGTTCTGTCCAGCATAGGTAATTACCGCTTTTAAAGACACCTGCTACTCAATAGCTTCGACCCAGACTGTTAATTTAGCCCCCCGATTGCAGACATTTATGTCTGAGTGTCACTATTAATTTGCGTTAATTTGGAGAGTGTGAGAAAGCCGGGTGGAGGCGTTGTCGGCAGGCGGCTGAATGTGCTCGTCGCTCACCTGCACCAGGGCTGCGGCTGTAATTGGAGTCTAATGGTCTGATTGATCAGTGAGAGAAGTGAGGGATGAGACGGCGCTCTGGCAGCTTCATCAGTCAGAGAGAGAGGAGAGAGGAGGAGAGGAGGAGGAAGAGGAACAGAGCGGGCAAAGCAGCTAACAACAGGAGCTCTGAGCCAACTCTCGGGTGCTTTATTCTTTTTTTATTATTTCTCCTGTTTTACTTTTTGTCCATTACTCAGTTTGACCCCTTCCGCTTCTGCCTTCACTTGCAATGGTGCAAATCTTGGTATCGATCTGATACCAAGCAAATGCAGGGCCAGTGTTTCCGAGACCAATACCAATACGGATACTTTTAACCTAAAAGACAGCTTGTAGAGGAGAGCAGCGTGTCATGATTTATAAGACGAATCATCATCAATTTGCAAATATTGAACACATTTCAATCACCACTCAATCACTGTCAATTTCCACAATGTTCACTTAGCACAACAACACACACCTTTCAGCTCTTCATGCATTCTGAAATGGAAATGAAATAGATGCAATTCAGGCGTGCTTCATACCTGATTTTTGAGGTATATCTTTATATATTTTTATTCCAAATAGCATTCAACACAATTCAGTGAGCTGCATACTGAACTTAGTGGAGAGACACAAAGTATTGATCGTATCGCGCATCGATCCAATATCAGTACCAACATTGGTATCGGTGCTATCGATATTTGGATCAATCCGTCCACCTCTACTTTGCAGTGTCCTGTCTGATGCTTAGTTTACAGGCCAGACAATCATCTGTCTTGCAGTGCAGTTGAACCATTATAATAAAACCATATGATATTTTTTAAAAATATCAAATAAAATAATAACTGGTTCTATATTTGGGTTCAACTTTATACAGCCTGCAAGTGATCTGAGAGTGATACAAGAAAACATTTAACAGTGTTTAACACAGTGCAGTGTGATTGTGTTAACAGGTCTGCAACAGCAATAACTACAACTCCAGTCCCTCATGCCAAGCTGAGCCCCTGGGGTCTACAAACCTGCCACGGCCGACCCATCAGCTGTGAAATCTGCTTTCCTCTTTGATAAACGGTCGAGATGTGACCCTATCTCTGTCCTGCAGATGCCCAGATTTCCTGTCACGCTTTTTCCCTTCTGTTTTTTCCTGCTATTTCTCCCTCTGACTCGCTCTCTTTCTCTCTCTCGCTCCCCCTTTCATTCTTTCTTTCTACCTCTCTTTCCTGGCGTGTCTGGACAACTGCATGAAACGCTCCACTCGCTGTTCTTCCTCAGCATCATCCATCACTCTGCTCAGCTATTGAGGCCTGTCGTGCACGAGCCGCCAAACGCACATAGACTCCCACACCATAGGCACAGGCAGCTCGGCCAGCTCCAGCGCCAGTTCCCATGTGCGTCCACGAGGGACCATTACAACCCCCCCACGCCCCACTTAAATGGCTCTTCATGTGCCCAAAGTGCTCATCGTTCTGTCCAGATTAATGCAAACACATCTTATATTCACTGTATTTTCATTATTTACTGTAAGCCACTTTAAGGAGTCATTGCACTTTAGTCCCGCTCTGGGCGTCGTGCCAAGGATTGAGAAACGGACCTACGAGCCCACCGTACGCTGCGGCTCGACAAAAATAGCTTGACCTCTAAAAAGTCATACCTTAAGTGACGCGTGTGGACGATGGAATAAAATATGTTTGATTTTAGAGCGGCTCTATCAATATCTCACTAGCGGGTCATGTGTTTCAAGCATCAGAGAGGTGTCACTGCTGCCACATACCTGACTGCCTTTGGGTAATTCATTCACCTCTATGGTTTCAGAAAAATCTAAGAGAGTAAAAGGAGATTTAATAGTGTATGGAGGTCACACTTCATGAGAATGACTGAGTGTGGCTTCTAGCTCCGGTAGAGATCCACGAAGCAATAAGGCTTTATTTCTACCTCAAACGCATTCTACCCCCTTCTGACCCTGCTTTGCAGCACTGGCCACCCTGACATGCATCAAAACTAGCCGGCCTCTTTTAACCCCTTTCTCTTCTCCCTCCCCTCCCCTCACACTTACATTTGTTATTTCAACTTTTCTCGCTGGTGAGGCATCAGAGATTTGATCCTGTCTAGATGTTTTAAGATTTGCACAGCTCTCGTACCTCCTACTGAAATAACTGAGATAAATGCAGCCCTGCGTGCGGGGACGTTTCCAAAGGCTGCTCGTTTAACAATGCAGCGGCTCGATAAGTAGAAGCTTGAATTGAAAGTAAAGAAATAAACTTAGGGTACTGTAAATGAGACCAATCCCTTGTGAAGTGCAAAATACTACAATTTTTGAGTTTCTGGCTCATTCTGCACCAAGAAAAAAGAGAAAAAAAGGAAAATCTAAAGTAAAAAGTTACACTGAACCCTAAAAGGAGGCTTGGTAAAACAAAACATGCCAGCTGGGTTGACCTAGCCTTTAATGAGAGATAGTGAGAAGCTGCTAACAGCCAGTACCCCATTTGAGAGATGAAACTTAGCAGAGGAGGAGGGCAAGTAGCAAAAGCATTGAAAGGGCTCCCATGAGAATAGACACACATGAGATCCTTAAAGGCAACGCGCAAGAGCTTCTTCCTCTGCTTTTAATTGCGATAGAGGTTTGGCATATTCTGTAACCCCTCCACAGCCTATTACAGGTGATGACCAGCACCTGCTCGGTTGAAAAAAAAAAAAAACCAACAACCTAAGGAGCGTCTGTACAGCATTGATGAATTCCTCAGAGGGTAGTTCGTTAAGAGCTTCTCATTCTAGCCAAGAGCAACAATCAGTTTATGCATCTTGCTCAGCAGCGAGTCTGATGAATGTGTAAAGTTTTTATCTGCTGGAAAAGCTCCACTAGCAAACAATTCAAGAAGATGCTTTATATGACGTCACTCGATGAGTCTGGAGGCGGGTCATTTGAGGGACAGTTGAAGGTTGATTTTGGATGCCTTTCAGTGAAATTCATGCAGCAGCTCATCGAGAAATATATGGAGTGTGTTACTTTGGAAGGCAACTTGAGGTGTTACTCTGTCAAATCACTTTTCCGCCCAAGGATAACTGGCTTTACCCTGAGAGAAGCCATATTTCATGGCTATAATACGGCCTGAGTTATTTAAAGCCACTGATGACTTCAAAACCATGAGGGGAGCTTAGAAAGCAGTCAAAAGTGTTCCGAAAATGATTTAATAAAGTTATGCGTTTAAGGAATCTGGGAGAATGGATGGCATGGCCTCTGAGTCTGAAATCCTCCTGGACTTATTCTTGTGTTTTTTTTCTCCTTTTAAACAAGATGAATGTAAGGCTGGTTTTGACTTTAATAGGAATTTCTTAATTAATCCAAATGCAGAATGGAATATCAAACCCACGGAGGGCTTGTCCCTCCACCAGAGCAGCAGGTCAACACGAGTCTCTGCTGGGATCTCCGAAACAAGAGATATAAAGCTGCTGTGCGCAGAGTAACATCAAACATAATGGGCTGTGACTTCACTCAACTGAAGCCTGGACTGAGCTCCAAATCCACCAATTAAAATGTTTTGTCATAAAATATGCAGATTAAAGGGGTAAAACAGATGCACTTCAAAGGCTTATGTTGGGGGCCAGTTGGATCCCAAAAGAGTCACCTCGGTAGGTTCGAATGTCAGGGGAGATGCCATTAATACGGGCTTAGCTGTAAAACTTTCTAGTGATCAAGTCCCCATGGCTGCTAAGGGCAAAGTTTGACTAAATTTAGTGACCTAAGTTTAATCATGACATGACTCAACAATAAGAAAACAGGCTTTTACTGCAAACAAATAGCATTTGGGTTAAGGGTTAGTCGCTTTAGTTCACTATAGAGCCCTCAATGGATTTTTACAAAAATAACAATAATGCATTGTAAAGTATGCATCATTTTAAATGGCTCAGTAAGCCTATAAAATATATCATACAGTTTTGTTTAGCCAAATCTGGATATGAAATACAATTAATATTTAAGTCAGCATGACTATAGTGAAAATAGTTGGTTGTAGTCACTCATTCTTGGTAAAATTACATCTATTCTGCTAATCTTGGATAAACCATGTTCCAAAAAGGAGAAAAAGCCACTGCTCACTCGTTGGCTAATGACATGTCAATCATAAATCAAAGCTTCAAAAACAGAGAAACCAATGGGCGGCTACATCCAGCTTTTACACTGTCTGTGGTTGCAAAGCGACTTGCAGATCACCTAATCTGCCTCCACTTCAGCTAAGCTTGACTTTGCGTCCTGACTAAATAAATGCTCTCTTCAATCTAATGTACAGCAAAATCTAGTAGGTAGCTAAAAATCTTGATTGTCAGATGACAACTGGCCCAGCTTTAATGTGGTACTGAAGCTCAGTCTTGTTTTTATCGCTTTCAACGACTGTTTTGTTTATATTTCACCGTAGGTACCAGAATGCCTTCGTTGCATCACTTTTTGATTATTGAAATGTTCCCTTTCCCTTCTAAACAAAAGCACACAAAGATCCCTGAAGTGTTGAGACACTGACATTTTGAATAGAGAGCAGAGCTGACTCACTGTTTTCTATTAGAACTCTGGAACAGTGAGCCTGATCCCATTTAATTAAAATTTATTTGACACTTTATCTTCATTTCACTTCTTAAATCATACTTTTATTTTATAATATAGACTGTACTATCATTTTAGTGAGTTCTGCTCATATTTTAAGGATGCTTTACAGCTAAATGTTTAACGTTTTACAGTAGTTGGTCAAACAAGAACTTACCAGTGTAGAGTTTTCAGTGCTCATTTCAATCTTCCCCTCAAAGGGTCCCCATGTTGTCCCCAAAGGGAGCTGCTGCCGGCTGTGGATACGACGCTCACCATCTTTAAGGAATGCGTCCAGCTCTCCTGAAAAAACACACCAGACGCCAAAGCAGTCAGCCATAATGCTCTATATGGCGCACAAGTTCTACATCAAGTCACAGCTATGTTCATTCATTCTTATTTTGGCTTAAACCTACATGTGCAATCCTTTTACTCCCTCAAAAAAAAAAGAAAAAAAAAGTGGAGGTTAAAATCCAAGCAGCTTCAAAGTGGATAAGCAAATCAAGCGAGCATCCATCTGATGGTGTTCCTCAGACACATGGTGTGCTAACCCTACTTGAAAGGTGTCTTGTGTAGAGATAATCTCTGTGAGACAGTGCAGGCTTACTGGCTGGTGAGAGCAGCGAGTGGCAGCCCTATTCCTGTTGTTCCGGGAAGGCAGGACCCTTGTTAGTGCTGTGCAGATCTTCAGTTAATTAACAGTGGAAACGGATAGCACTGTTAGTACTACCAGCACTCATCCCCACAACCACCCAGCTATCTTATCTCTTAGATTCAGTGTACTCTTTTTGACGTGGTGATTAATCAAACAGTTATGATAAAACTCATGGCAGGCTGTGACATAGTTTACGGAGGAGGATGTTTCTCTGAGTGTGTGTTGCAAAGAGAAAGTATGCAGCTCTTAACTAGTTGCCTTGACAATTCTGAGAAGTGCTGCTGGATTCAAACATCTGTAGCAACATTTGGTCTCGCTTTATAGTCTCCATGGACACGAGAAGTTCAAATAATGTTCTTATCAGGCGTGAGTCATGTTTCAGAACTTCTTTAAATAAGACTGAGGTGACCTTTGGGAAGTGCAAATTCAGGTCAGCTTCAGGCCATCAGCATGAAGCAAACCTGGTAAATATACCCCAGTGTGTCCGGACGAGTGATCATAATGCGTGTTATTAATATACAAACCGAACTCTACATGTGTTGTTAACACTGTGTCTCATAACCTGTTTGTTAACACATGAGGCTAAAAGGTATTTGGGGCATTTGGTTCACGATGAATGGGTTGAAATGATCAGTGAACTTTACGACGTGTATGTGGTATAATGACCTATTCAGCCCTGTTCTACTCTGTAAATATCAACCATGTATCAGTGGCCGGCTATTGTGCTCCACCGTTAGGGCTCTATGGAAATGTGTGCTTATGTGAAGCTTTGCATGCATAAACATGACTGAAACATCGGGCTCGTGTTACTGCCCACTAGAAAATCATGCCTTGGCGATCATATATTCATCAAGAACAGTCGCAGCTGTGGCATTAAAAAGCTAAACGTCACCTCTGATAAAAAGAAAATCACTCCCCAGACCAAACCTCTGTTATAAGATTGAAACAGATGCCCTGGACATTTACTTATACTTATGAAATTGACCGTATAAAAACAAGATAATCTGGACTACATTATCTCATTCTCACCCTCCCTCTGTATCCTCTCCTCCCTTGTTCCTGCTGTTGCATGCTGTCCTCCTGGTGCTGCAGTGGAAGGTGGGTAAGCTCATTACAGAGAAATAATTAAACATTGGTGCACAGCTGGTCGTCATCACTGAGAGCAACAGCCACCGCTTGATGCATTCTGTTTGTCCTCAGATAAGACCCACGGCCTTTAACCGCTTGGATGCAAGTTCCTGTTTAGCCCCGCTTGACACACAGCTAAAGCCATCCCCAGCCAACAACTCTGATTCCTTTCTCCTTCTCTTTCTCTTCTCTGGGTGGATGGATGGGGGGGTGATTGGAGTAAAAAGAAAAAAGGGGGTAACGGGTAGCGTTAGGTGTGAGAAAGAGGAGGGGGTAAAGAGGGTACGATTCAATTTGTGCGGTTTGTGGTCCACCATGTTTAGGTGCCAGTTGTGTGCATCTCACACCAAATGTTGCCTGAGGACCTTGGCTCACAGATGGCTTGTCACATCTGTTGCAGATACTAGTGGAAGATCTCCACAAAAACACCCATGGATGAATAATGAGTCCCCTTCATGGGCTGTCTGTGTCTCTATGGGCATTTACAGGTTTGTGAATGTTGCAAGGTAAAAAAAAAAAAAAATAAACTAAAAGAAATAAATAAATAAGTTATATTGACAGATGTGTTCTGTCATCAACTACTAGCTGCTGACAACTTTTGTAATTACGGTTGCATAAACTCTTTATGTCACAGTGATAATTCAATTTCTTACGAGCCCCCAAATCCCAACTCTATTACCTATACTCATTACAAATAAATTTAGAACAAATACAGAAGTCACACTGTTTAACCCGTCAAACTGCGAGCTGCAGACTGAACTAAGAGGAAAGCTCATAATGGGCTATTAGGAGATTTAACAAACCCAGCGCCTGTGTTCTCTCTCTTCAGTGTTTTCCTCATCATCCAATTCTCAAATGCCACACACTTGGCAAAACACGAGCTCGTGATGTGGCTCGAGAGCCCCCCCCCCCCCCAAAATCCCCAACCAAAACCTCACCACAACCTTTATCCACAACCACCACCACCCCCACCCAACCACCACCCCACCCTCGATAAGATCATCATCTGTCGCTAGACTCTAGGGTCTGTTCCTGCACTCCACAGATACTTGGCAGACCAATGAATGTCCCTTTGTGTGGAGAGATCTTCCTCAGATAGCACCCAAGATGCTCCACACTGGCATCTGTTTGTTTTTTTTGTTTTTTTAATGTGTGCATGTGTGTCCTGTCTTTCTTTTCTGCTCTGGTGCAAAGAAATGGGGAACCTCGTCTCCCTCTCTCCCATCTCCGGTGTACGACTGAATGCTAATGAGTTTCTCAGTGGCAGGATGCCAGCCTGCTATGATGTGAAGAATAAATGGGTGTGGACCATTGACAGACAGAGGTGAACTGCCACTTTCTACTTTTGAATAATGTTATTACATCTAATGAAACTCTTTTCAACAATCCCTTAACATGCAATTCACCTTTTTTTTATTTCTCCATTATGTTGGGGAAAATGATCTTATTCCACCACCTGACAATTTCACATTTGCATTACATTCTGCATTAGCTTGTTACAGATCTTTATTACAGCTATACGACGTTCACAGAGGTTAATACATTCGAAACGAAAGCTGTGTTTTATAGGGCTGCGCTAGGGGTGTGAGGATAAGCATGGACTGGCAGTAAGTGTTACGCTGAATATGAAAGATTGCGTATATTGATATTGTATCATTAATACCCATGTGATAAATTTGTAAATGATTCTTTTTGTGTGGTTTTGTATAGTTATGGATTGTCTCATACCTTCTGTCTATCTGTATTTGGTTTTTAATCAATTTGACAAAAAAAGATAGAGATATGATTATTTTTGATTTTCTTTAAATTTGCTGACTATGATAACCTGATATAGTGACAGGCTTAGGGTGAACTGATTTCCACTAGTTTGTCCACTGCAGTCTTGGGTAGGCTATGTAATTCTTGCATATCACATTATAAATACTTCCTCCTACTATGTTTGATTGCATAGTGCTTATTTTATTTGATATGATATTTGTTATGTGAGTTTTACATGTTTAAAATTAATCTTTTTTTGTGTAATTCTACAAGATTACAACAGGTTTGACTTACAAATTACAGGAGTATTTCCCTAGAGTGATCTGGGCCCACTTGTCTCTTTGGAGGGAGGAGGATCTGAAATTCAATCCAAGTTTGTGTTTTTCATGATTACTTTTAAGAATTTCTTCCTAGATTGGAGGGGACACACTTCCATGATGGTCATGTGCACATCTACAGGGCAGGATGGAGAGGTTACCAGTCAAATGGGTGACTGGTTTACAGGGGGATTCTGGACCAACAGTGTTTGTGATTTTCTTTGTGAAAACACTAAAATAACTAAACGTCCCTTAAGAAGAGCTACAGATAGTTCAAAAGACTTGAGGAATCACTGCGGCTGTGCTAGTGACCCAGTGTTTTTTTCCTTTAATTTGTCATCTGTCCGTAATTCAAGGCTCCAACTGAAATATTTGTCCACCCTATACTTTAAAATTCAATGACTGATTCGCATTTTAGTACAAATGTTTTTATTAATGCACAAGACGTTCAGACCTGAATTTTCTTAATATAATTTCTGGCCTGGAGTGGGGCCTCTGCTAATGGTCAGAAATGACAAATGACATCATCATCATCTCGCTGAAGCATATTAACATTTGTTAAAGAACCGGGATCCGCTCGAGGTATTTTCCATGTGAATTTAACTTCTGTAACTAGTTCAAAGAACAAACTTACTTTGAGGAAAAGAAATTACCCGCAGCACTAAAATAGCCATTCCAGTCTGTGGTCTACTTCACCTTTATCCAGTTAGTGCGAGTATATTAACAGTAAAGGCAGACGTTGCGGGAAAAACAAGGAACGACAGAGTCGAAACAAGAGGGGAAACTGTGCTTGAGCGCCGCACAACAGGCGATCCGTCTTGATATCAAGCAGCGCCTCTGAATCAAGGCAAACAAATGTCTGCTGTTCAAAGTTCAATAACCTGTGCGTGGCAATTCACAGATGTCCCACTGAATCCAAGTCATCTCCACTGATAGGCCATGCTATAGAGCCAGCAAATGGGCTATAAATTAATATACCATGAGAGCGGCATATGGGGTGAAATGGAACGCAGTGTATCAGTTCAACAAAAGGTGCCACATCTTTAAAGCAGATATGTGATATGAAATTTTACAGCTGAAGGAGAAATGTCACAGAGCTTTGATAAGAGAGCAACGAACTTTCTCCCCCCTCCTACCCAAACCCTATTATCAGGTCCAAGTGAGCAAAATGCATCATTTATAACCCAGAGCCCACACTATTATCTTTGAAAAAGGCACTTGTGTTAACACAACTGCGGACCCCACCACCAACAGCACCACCACCTCGTCTTCCTCTGTCCTCACCCCGCCCCTCCGCCCTCCCCAAACCCGCCCTAACCCTGCCTACATGTGGCCGCGCTTGGCCTTGAGCAGCGGGGAGAACGTTTGCTGGGGAGCAAGTTTCCAGGCAACCACATGAGTTTGGCCACAGCGGGAGGGGGGGTGGGAGTGTGGAGGGGGTGAAG